AGATCGCAGCCCCCCCAGGAACGGCGAGGTCTCGCTCAGGCCCCCGCGGTGCCTCACCCCGCAAGACCCACCAGCAGCCCCCGAAAGTGGCGACGGTGTCGCATATCGCAGCCCCCCCCTTCAGGCGGTCTTGCTCAAGTCCCCGCGGTGCCTCAGTCCGCTGGACCCACCAGCAGCCCTCGAAAGTGGCGACAGTGTCGCACATTGCAGCCCCCCCCAGGGACGGCGAGGTTTCGCTCAAGTCCCCGCGGTGCCTCGTTCCGCACGACCGACCCACCAGCAGCCCCCGAAAGTGGCGACAGTGTCGCAGATCGCAGCCCCCCCAGGAACGGCGAGGTCTCGCTCAGGTCCCCGCGGTGCCTCAATCCGCTGGACACAACAGCAGCCGTCGAAAGTGGTGACAGTGTCGTAGATCGCAGCCCCCCCCCCAGGGACGGCGAGGTCCCCGCGGGGCCTCAGTCCGCTGGACCCAACAGCAGCCCTCGAAAGTCGCGACAGTGTCGCAGATCGCAGCCCCCCCAGGGACGGCGAGGTTTCGCTCAGGTCCCCGCGGTGCCTCACTCCGCTGGACCCAACAGCAGCCCTCGAAAATGGCGATACTGTCGCAGATCGCAGCCCCCCCAGGGACGGCGAGGTCTCGCTCAGGTCGCCGCGGTGCCTCACTCCGCAGGACCCACCAGCAGCCCCCGAAAGTGGCGACACTGTCGCAGATCGCAGCCCCCCTAGGGACGGCGAGGTCTCACTCAAGTCCCCGCGGGGCCCCACTCCGCTGGACCCAGTGGCGACAGCGTCGCAGATCGCAGCCCCCCCTCACCCCGGGGGACGGAACGGTATTGCTCAAGTCCCCGCGGTGCCTTACTCCGCCGCAGGCCCAACAACAGCCCTCGAAAGTGGCAACACTGTCGCAGATCGCAGCCCCCCCCCAGGGACGGCGAGGTCTTGCTCAGGTCCCCGCGGTGCCTCACTCCGCTGGACCCACCAGCAGTCCTCGAAAGTCGCGACAGTGTCGCAGATCGCAGCCCCCCCAGGAACGGCGAGGTCTCGCTCAGGCCCCCGCGGTGCCTCACCCCGCAAGACCCACCAGCAGCCCCCGAAAGTGGCGACGGTGTCGCATATCGCAGCCCCCCCCTTCAGGCGGTCTTGCTCAAGTCCCCGCGGTGCCTCAGTCCGCTGGACCCACCAGCAGCCCTCGAAAGTGGCGACAGTGTCGCACATTGCAGCCCCCCCCAGGGACGGCGAGGTTTCGCTCAAGTCCCCGCGGTGCCTCGTTCCGCACGACCGACCCACCAGCAGCCCCCGAAAGTGGCGACAGTGTCGCAGATCGCAGCCCCCCCAGGAACGGCGAGGTCTCGCTCAGGTCCCCGCGGTGCCTCAATCCGCTGGACACAACAGCAGCCGTCGAAAGTGGTGACAGTGTCGTAGATCGCTCCCCCCCCCAGGGACGGCGAGGTCTCCGCGGGGCCTCAGTCCGCTGGACCCAACAGCAGCCCTCGAAAGTCGCGACAGTGTCGCAGATCGCAGCCCCCCCAGGGACGGCGAGGTTTCGCTCAGGTCCCCGCGGTGCCTCACTCCGCTGGACCCAACAGCAGCCCTCGAAAATGGCGATACTGTCGCAGATCGCAGCCCCCCCAGGGACGGCGAGGTCTCGCTCAGGTCGCCGCGGTGCCTCACTCCGCAGGACCCACCAGCAGCCCCCGAAAGTGGCGACACTGTCGCAGATCGCAGCCCCCCTAGGGACGGCGAGGTCTCACTCAAGTCCCCGCGGGGCCCCACTCCGCTGGACCCAGTGGCGACAACGTCGCAGATCGCAGCCCCCCCTCACCCCGGGGGACGGAACGGTATTGCTCAAGTCCCCGCGGTGCCTTACTCCGCCGCAGGCCCAACAACAGCCCTCGAAAGTGGCAACACTGTCGCAGATCGCAGCCCCCCCCAGGGACGGCGAGGTCTTGCTCAGGTCCCCGCGGTGCCTCACTCCGCTGGACCCACCAGCAGTCCTCGAAAGTCGCGACAGTGTCGCAGATCGCAGCCCCCCCAGGAACGGCGAGGTCTCGCTCAGGCCCCCGCGGTGCCTCACCCCGCAAGACCCACCAGCAGCCCCCGAAAGTGGCGACGGTGTCGCATATCGCAGCCCCCCCCTTCAGGCGGTCTTGCTCAAGTCCCCGCGGTGCCTCAGTCCGCTGGACCCACCAGCAGCCCTCGAAAGTGGCGACAGTGTCGCACATTGCAGCCCCCCCCAGGGACGGCGAGGTTTCGCTCAAGTCCCCGCGGTGCCTCGTTCCGCACGACCGACCCACCAGCAGCCCCCGAAAGTGGCGACAGTGTCGCAGATCGCAGCCCCCCCAGGGACGGCGAGGTCTCGCTCAGGTCGCCGCGGTGCCTCACTCCGCAGGACCCACCAGCAACCCTCGAAAGTGGCGACACTGTCGCAGATCGCAGCCCCCCCAGGAACGGCGAGGTCTCACTCAGGTCCCCGCGGGGCCTCAGTCCGCTGGACCCAACAGCAGCCCTCGAAAGTCGCGACAGTGTCGCAGATCGCAGCCCCCCAGGGACGGCGAGGTTTCGCTCAAGTCCCCGCGGTGCCTCACTCCGCTGGACCCACCAGCAGCCCTGCGAAAATGGCGATACTGTCGCAGATCGCAGCCCCCCCCAGGGACGGCGAGGTCTCGCTCAGGTCGCCGCGGTGCCTCACTCCGCAGGACCCACCAGCAGCCCTCGAAAGTGGCGACAACGTCGCAGATCGCAGCCCCCCCCCCCGGCGAGGTCTCGCTCAGGTCGCCGCGGTGCCTCACTCCGCAGGACCCACCAGCAGCCCTCGAAAGTGGCGACAGCGTCGCAGATCGCAGCCCCCCCCCCCCAGGAACGGCGAGGTCTCGTTCAGGTCCCCGCGGTGCCTCACTCCGCAGGACCCACCAGCAGCCCTCGAAAGTGGCGACAATGTCACATATCGCAGCCCCGTGGCAAGATGCACGCACAAGGCGTACCGCAGCCAGGATGCACACCACACACACACACACACACACAAACACACGAGGTACGCGCAAGGCAAGAGGAGACAAGACGGAAGCGGGGGACGGGAGGCGGGAGGAGGAGGAGGAGGAGGAGGAGGAGGAGGAGGAGGAGGAGGAGAAGGACTGGAGACCGCAGTGCATTCAAAATGAATACCCAACCACGGAGGGTTGGGAATAAAGAAAGGTTATTTTCGCCACTCTGTCGAGTGAGAGCATGCGGCCACGCCCGCGCGCATGTCGAAAATATCCAACATTCATCGCGCACCCGTCGAAATTATTCCAAAACCGGTTGTTTTCTAAGCATATCAACACGGAGGTTTTGAAACACATATGAAAAAATGGTTGGTGTATCGCACTTCTGTCGTAATGTCAAAATCTCTTCAACCACACTATCTCATTACCCTCACCAACACCACTGCATCATCATCGCCAGCGTCACCATTGCCACTAGCATCATCATCACCAACAGCTTCATAACCATCACCATTGTCGTCGTCGAACCCACCGTCGACATGAGCATCATCATCGCCCATTGTCCCTCAACACCGTCTTTGACATCATCGCCGGCATTATCATTATCATCGTCATCACCACCATCTCCGTCACCACCACCATCATCGTCATCATCCCCGACGCCGTCATCAACATCATCCTCATCGTCATAGTCGTTGTCGTCGCACTCGTCGCTGGCGCCATCATCATCATCATCATCATCATCATCATCATCATCATCATCATCATCATCATCATCATCACATTATCCTCATTATCGTCACCCCTCGGCCGCACGAGTCATGGATGTGCACGGGAAGGGTATCGCGTCATTACGCCAGGTGAACTTGCCAATGCGTTGCGCGTGGGAGGGTCGGATGTTTGCACGAGCATTGGAGGTCGTCACGGGCGGAAGGTGAATTTTTTCTCCTCAAAAGAATTGGGCTCCTCCCACCCCCACCGTGGTCAAGACTCGCGTTTCCCCTTCGAAGCATTGCTTTCCTTATCTTTGTTATGCGCGATCTTTCATCCCGGACGTGAAATGATACGATCCCTGGCCGACCTGTATCCACCTCCTCTCCGCTGTCTCCTCCAAAAAACAACGGTGCAGATGCATTGATCTAAGAAGTGCATTCTGTAACAACCACTGTCGAATGATACCATGTGGGTCACATGCGCGCGCGCCCCCACGCGAGCATGTCAAATCATTCAAACAATGTGGGCATGATGATGCGATTGTTCTGTGGCCAACGAACTCTACGAGTGCGGTCAAGCAATATGCCGACACAGGGCGGGCCATGCGACGCACATGAGCTCATGTACCGTGCCTCTCATTGCCTTGGGCCAATCTAACTCGGACCATTGCCTCTCATATGAGAGGTAATGATCCGAGTTAGACTTGGTTCTAGCAGAGCCAGAGCATCCGCGGACTTCGTTCACACAGGGGGCCTGTTGTGACGATTCACCTGGCACTAGTTTCTGGGATGAACGACAGCAAGCGCGACACAGACCGCTGATGCATGGGATGCTGCGGCCGATGCCATTCGTGACAGAACAAGCGAAGCAAAATGACAGGTATAAGCAGCATCGAGCGGCCTCCAGAAACATGACAACATTGAAACAACAATTCGTGATACGCACGTTCAGGACAGGCGACGGGCAAGGTGTGCGAGTGCGATGCGGGCATTGTGACGCAGCGAATGGCAAGACAGACGCTGCGAACGTGCGGCATTGCAAGGGCGAGTGTGCACTCGCACGGCTGCCATGGGCACTCAACGTGCAATCTGCCGCTGCGCAACGCCAGACCTTCCCCCTGCGCGCGGTGTCTTCCTCTAAGGATGAGGATGATGATGATGATGATGATGATGAGGAGGAGGAGGAGGAGGAGGAGGAGGAGGAGGAGGAGGAGGAGGAGGAGGATCGAGGAGGGGAAGGAGGAGCATCGAGGAGTAGAAGGATGAGGAGGAGGAGGAGGAGGAGGCTCGAGGAACGAGCCGTCGCGTGGCGCCAGCAGCTCGTCCCAGCGGCCCTCCCGTGCCAGGCGGTGCCCCCGCCGGAACTCGGCGGCCAGGCCCGCGCTGCGGCCGGCGTCCATGTAGGGCTCCGCGGCCGCGGGCGGCCGACCACCCTCGAGGACGCCGGGGACCACGACGAGGACGACGCCGGCGCTTCGGAGGGGCCCCGGGCGCTTCTGGAAGTCAAATGGCGTCGTTTCGTGTGTTTGGGATCTTCCTTCCCCTCCTCCCGCGGCCGCTCCTCTCTTCTGGTGCAGCATTGGGAGGAGGAGGCTCCTCTCTTCTGGCGTTGTCTTCCCCTCTAACATGTGGGACATTCGAAATACCGTCACCCAGCTTGCCCGAGCGCGCGTGCGGACTGCCTCTGTCGCGCTGCGACGTAAAAAGTGTTTTGAACGTTGTTGGCCGTCGCTTTCGAGGTTGTCGACGTCGTTTCGGGAGCCGTTGGCCGTGGCATCCGTAGAGATTATCGGGTGTGTTCGGCCGTTGTTTTGGAGACTTCTGGGCGCTTCTGAAAATTAACGGGGTCGTTTCGTGTGTTTTGCATGTTGTTGGCCGTCGCTTCGGAGGTTGTTGGACATCGCTTCGGGAGTTGTTGGCGGCCGTACTCGCCGGGATTGTCGGGTGTTGTCGGCCGACGCTTCGGAGATGTCTGGGCGCTTCTGAACATCAAAAGGGTCGTTTCGTGTGTAGTGAACGTTATTGGCCGTCGCTCCGGAGGTTGCTGGACGCCATTTCGGAAGTTGTTGGCCCTCGTATCCGTTGGGGTTATCGGGTGTTTCCGGTCGTCGTTTCGGGCATGTCTAGGCGCTTCTGAAAATTAAAAGCGTCGTTTCGTGTGCATGAAACGTTGTTGGCCGTCCCTTCGGAGGTTGTTGGACGCCGTTTCGGGAGTTGTTGGCCGTCGTCTTCGTTGGGGTTATCGAGTGTTTTCGCCCGTCGTTTCGGGTACTTCTGGGCCCTTCTGAAAATTAAACGCGTGGTGTCGTGTCGTGCTTGACGTTGGCCGTCGCTTCGGAGGTTGTTGGACGCCGTTTCGGAAGTTGTTGACCGTCGCATCCATTGGTGAACGCTTTCTTATTCGGCGTTTCGACATTGGGCGGAAAGGGGGGAGGTCTGGCTCGGGACCTCTGCTTACTGCGACTGTTTGCAACAGTGCGTCCCATGGAGGAGACTCCACCTGCTTCAAACAGGTGCCAAAAACAGCCAAGATCTACTCCATGGGGGGGGGAAGGGGTGCGAGGGACCGCGCCGATGGGAAAAACAATGAATGTTTTCGGCCGTCGCTTCGGGTACTTCTGGGCACTTCTGAGAATTACAAGCGTCGTGCCGTGCTTTTTGAACGTTCTTGGTCGTCGCTTCGGAGGTTGTTGGACGCCGTTTCGGGAGTCGTTGGCGTCGTATCCGTTGGGGTTGTCAGGTGTTTTCGGCCGCCGTGTCGAAGACTTCTGGGCGCTTCTGAAAATTAGAAGGATCGTTTCGTGTGTTTTGACGTTTTTGGCCGTCGCTTCGGAGGTTGTTGGACGTCGCTTCGGGAGTTGTTGGCCGTCGTACTCGCTGGGATTATCGGGTGCTTTCGGCCGTCGTTTCGGAGATGTCTGGGCGCTTCTGAAAATTAAAAGGGTCGGCTCATGTGTTTTGAACGTTGTTGACCGTCGCTTCGGAGGTTGTTGGACGTCGCTTCGGAAGTGAAGCGCCCAAGAAGCCGAGGATGAACCCGTTACGGGGCTGAGGGTCTGGGGCTGATATTCTTAGAAGGTTGACACCTCATCTTGCGCTTCCCATTAGCACTAGCCCCCGCCGTCACGCGACGTCCGTGCCGCTCTGCGTCACGCGTGTCAGCACGCGCGCACCGAGCTGTTGGCCGTCGTATTCGCTGGGGTTGTCGGGCGTTCTCGGGCGACGTATTCGGAGATTTTAGGGTGTTCGTCGCCACAGCCTGGGCCGATTGTGAGGGGGTGGGTCCATCTGTTGCATCCTCGGGGGACCTGTTGTCTGTCCAGTCGCGCCCCTTATCCGCGTCGAATCCATGTCAAGTCCTTGTCGGACGTGTCGAATCCGCGTCGAATCGGAGAATTTTGGGCCGATCTTTGGGCCGATTGTGTCCATTTGTTGCATCCTCGGGGGGTCCTCGTCTGTCCCGTCGCGCCCCTGTCCGCGTCGAATCTGTGTCGAATCCATGTCGGACTCGTCGGGTCCGCGTCGAATCCGCGGGGACAGACGAGGCCCCCCGAAGATGCAGCGTAAAGATCCGCTTCCTCCCATCAGATCCGGGCGTTGTAAAATTGCACCTGGCTGCAGAAGACCCTGAATTGCGCAATTAAGCTGTAGAGAGAACACTATACTGTATTAGTATACGCGAGACCATGATGGAAAGCATACGGGAAAACATGCGGGAGAGCATACAAAAGAGCATGCTGGCGAGCATTTGGGAGACCATCTAAGAGATCCTGCGGGAGACCAGTCGGAATATTAAACGGGAGATCTTGCGATAGACCATTCGGGAGATCATACGGCATGGCTGCGGGAGAGCCTACGGGAGACCATTCGGGAGAGCCTCTGGGACAGCGTGCGGGAGACTGCGGGCCACTGATTCCGGATCCGGAGGAGCTCGCACGTGCCCTAGAGCATTGCATTGGAGCAAAACGCGAGGCCCTTGCAGATAGTCTGCTCTGGGAAACATCGCGACGGGCGTTGTCACCCCGCCTCGGGGCCTGAGACCCCGTCTGGGGCGCTGGGGTACGCGGTCGTGAACTGTCCCCGACGTCTTGGCTCTCGCTCGCGACGTCGGATGTCTGGGGTGAGGGAATTGCGAATAACCTCCAGACCTGACCGATCGTTTGGGGGGGGGCTCGGGGGGGATCGTCTGCCCGGCGGCTCCTGGGCCCCCCAACTTCGCGCTCTCGCGCGCCCCCGCCCGCCCCATGAAAAGAGCACCTCTCCAGCACGGACCGCGAGGCGCGATCTGTTTGCACGCGCCTGCGCGTGACCACCAGACCTGTCAGGAGGAGTGCGCAGAAGCAGGAGCCAAGAAGGCGGTCAGACTGGACTGGAGTAGATTCCGGCCCGCCCCTGGAAAAGGGAGGCGGAAGGAAGCCCCCTCGGACGGCTGAGGCAAGGAGGCGCTCAAAGCAGATTGGGGCCGGAGGGCCCCCAAAACACCTACACAGCCAACGAGAGGCATGTGGCCCAGTGACTGCTCCTGCCTCACCCCCCCCCTCGGCCCATGAGAGGTGACCAACCGACCGCGGCTCTGCGAGGTCCAGGCCGCGCTCGACGGGGTCTTCCACGGAGAGCACCGCGCTCGGAGCAGCACGCCAGCCCCGCCTGCCCCGGCGGACCGACACCACCTCGTGGCGCCAGTCGAACTGGTCGGCGTAGAACTGGAAGACCGTGGACAGCAGGCGCGGCGCCAGGTCGGCCTCCAGCTCTGGCAGGTGCGGCAGCGCCCCGACGAGCGGCTCCGCGAAGGGTGGCACGGTATCTGGATCGATGGCCGCACACAAGGGTGGCGAAACGCACTGCGCCACAAAAACCGCCATGCAGACAAAAGCCAGGCCTGAAGGGTAGCCTCGAACCTGACCGTAAACGTTCCGACAACGTGCCCACCTCTTGAGCGCCAAACACACCTGGCGCAATGCAGGGGCAGCCGATAGGTACGACGCCACCAGGGAGCTCTTGCGGCAGCCAGCGCGATTCTCTATTGAGAGATCAACTGGGATGCCGCCGCTTAACGTGAGGCGGAGGATTGGCACCTTGGTCTCAAGCACGAGGCCCGATACCTCCAGGCCCGGGCTACGCGCTAGGAGCGTTCGCAGCCGCCTCAGCAGCGCGTGCTGTCCAGCGCGCTTCTCCTCGAACAATTCTGGGAGATCCCGCCCGCCTTCTGGCATGACGACCGTCACGTCCACGTCGCCGCCCGCATCCCGGAGGCTCTCCGCGGCAGAGCCGAACAGCCACACCTGGGCGCCTGGCAGCGCCCTTCCGACGGCGGCGCGAAGAGGCCCCAGGTCCACACCCGCCATCGGCAGCGCCACCAGCAGAGCCCTGGCCCGCCACGCCTGTGGGGCGGCCGCGACCAAGGGCAGCGCGTCAGGCCGTGGCGAGCTGCCGCGGTGTCGCAGCAGCCGCGCTTCCAACCGCGACGAGAATCGCTCCACGTCCCCTGGCGGCAGCCAGCCGCGGAAGAGCGGCAGCGAGCTGGCCCCGACATGCGGCTTCCCTGCGCGCTTGAAGGCGCGCATCGCCGCATTCAGCGACAGCCGGTCTCTCGGCACTCCGCGCCGCTCCATATCCCACAGAAGCGCGAGGGCCTGGGTCCAGAGCGCCCCGCGTCCAGCCGCCATGAGGGCCGCGTTGAAGGCAGGCGTGTTCGGGACCACGCCCAGCGGGCACAACCATCTCCACAAATCCGTAACCAGCTCTGGTACGCCCCCACGCTCGAGCGCCGTAGTGGACGCGGTGAGCGTGCTGACGTCTGGCAAGACCCCTGCTGCGACCATGTCGCGGAGTACTGCGAGGACCTGCTCCCACATCCCGGCGTTCTTGCAGGCCGCGACTGTAGTGTTGAAGGTGATGGCGTCTGGGGCATGCTTGTCCCGCCTGATGCGCATCCTGCGCAGTGCGTCCAGAGCCGCGGCCCACTCCCCAGCCTCGGAACAGGCCGCGAGGGCAGCGTTCCAGGACACCACAGAACTATCCTCTCCGTGGGTCCCCAGCAGCTGCAGAGCATCCCGCCACAGCGCCGCACGCGCGCACGCTGCGATGGCCGCATTTCTACACTGGCCGTCCGCAGAACGCTGGGCCTCGGCGCGGGCGAGCAGCTGCAGGGAGACCTGCCACTTGGCCGCACGGCCGCATGCACCCACGGCGGCCGCGAATGCCCGGGCATCTGGCGCGATGTTCGCCGACTCCGCGCAGCGCAGCAACCCGATGGCGGTCTGCCAGCTGCCGCTGGACACGCTCGCCTGCAGGGCCGCGCCGTAGCTGGCGCGAGTCCTCGCGACCGTACTGCGATCCATCTCGCTGAGCAGCTGCGCCACTGCATCGACGGCGCCTGCCCTGGCGCACGCGGACAAACAAGCGTTGTACGCCTCCACTGGGCCAGCCTTGGCGTGCCCATCTCGGCCCACTCCTCCGACCACACCGCGCAGCAAGCCCAGTGCACCTGGGGCGTCGAGCGCATAGCCATGCAGGCGCATGGCCGCCAGGGTCGCTTGCAGGTCCAGCTGCACGGACTGCCCCAGCATCTGCCGCAGCACGGCCACGCCCCGCTCCCAGCGAGATGCTTTCGCACACGCGGTCATCGCGCCAGTGAATGTGACAGCGTCTGCCTCCACTGAGCCCAGCAGCAGAGCCACCGCGCACTCCCACTGCGATCCGGCTCCCGCCGCCGTGACGGCGGCGTTGACGAGCACCTGCTGTCGAGGCTCGTCCAGAGGGTACGCGACGAGCATCGCCAGCCCCTGCTGCCAGCGTCTTGCACGGGCGCAGGCGCCTACGGCTGCACTGAGACTGAAGGCAGTGGTGCGATTAGGCGAACAAGCAACGACATCAACATAAATACTCGGAGGCCCACGCGGATTTCTCGGATCCGCGCTGGACCCCCCTCCCTGGCGCGCTTCTGGCGCCAGGGGCGGCGCCAGAAGCGCCGCCAGGGGGCCTCAGCGCCGATCCGAGGAGGCGCCGACAGGGGGCCCCAACACGGATCCGAGGAGTCCGCGCGGACCTCCGAGTTTTTATGCTTATCAGGTGGCGACATCCGAACCCTGCTCGGGCGGGTGGTAATGGGAGAAGGAAGAAGACCGTAAAGGGTCCCTTCTGGGGCGCCTTTAGGGCACCAGCGGGCTCCAAAGGGGGCCCTAAAGGGCCCCTTTTGGGCTCTTGTCTTTACCCCCCGTTTGAATCGCCCGTCGCCCCCCACTACCACCCGCCCGACCTACCCCCCACCAGCCATCGACTCTTCGAAGTCGATGGGAGGTGGGGGTAGGGTTCGGACTTCACCGCCGATTTCTGTAATTGTCTGTTCCCCGTGGAATGCCCGCAGAACACTTTCAGAGCCTTGTCCAGATCCCCCTGCCGGGCCGCACGCGCAATACGAGCTGCCGGGGAGCCCAGCCGCGCCCGTGTCGGCATCACCGCCGACCTCCATGCGCGCTCCGTGTGCGCCGGCTCCGCTGCGACCGCCGCTGCCCAACTTCAGGCCTGGACATCTACTGATTGAGCCAGGCTCAGCTGAACCAACATGACTACAGCCAATGTATTGCCGTGAGTTTGCCATAATAGGACGTAGACTTCCTTCTGCGGAGTTCGTCCAATTCCTGGCTTGGTTGTATTGCTGGACTCCTGTAGGAAGCCTGCCAAACGCGATGCCCCTCTTCCTCCTCCTGCATACATGTGGAGGAGGAGGAGAAGGAGGGGACGTTAGCATCGTGGCCAATCTTCTTGATCAGCAGGCCGAGAACTGCGTTCTCGTCCTCGAGGCCGAGGACAGTTGCGAGGCGCTCGCTAACCTGCTGCTGGACCACCTGCTTGGCGTGCTCACCGATATAGACCTTCCGGGACTGCTCCTCCTCCTCGTCCTCCGCCAACGATTTCTCCTCCTCCTCCTCCTCCGCCTCCTCCCCCATCCTCCTCCTCCTCCTCCTCCTCCTCCTCCTCCGCCTTCAAATCATCGTCATCATCATCATCAGCAGCATCATCATCCTCATCATCATCTCATCATCCTCATCCTCATCCTCATCCTCATCCCTCATCACCATCCCCCCCACCACCACCACCACCATCATCATCCTCATCCTCATCCTCATCCTCATCCTCATCATCATCATCATCATCATCATCATCATCATCATCATCATCATCATCATCATCATCATCGCCATCACCATCACCATCACCATCACCATCATCACCATCGTCGTCATAATCACAATCATAACCATCACCATCATCATCAGCATCATCATTATCATCACCATCCTCATCCTCATCATCATCATCATCATCATCATAATCATCATCATCATCATCATTAGCAGCCTCATCATCGTCATCATCAGTATCACCATCATCATCGTCATCATTACCATCATACCATTATCACCACCACCACCCCACTCATCATCACCACCAGCATCATCATCCGCAGCAGTAGCATAAGCATCATCAGCAACAGCATCACCATCATCTTTATCATCATCATCATCAGCATCATCATCATCATCATCATCATAAGCAGCATCATCATCAGCAGCATCAGCATCATAATCAGCATCCTGATTATCCTCATCATAATCCTCATTATGCCCCTCATCATCACCATCATCACAACAGTAAGCATAATCCTCAGCATCATCAGCATCATCATAACTATCCTCATCATCATCACCACCATCATCATTATCAGCAGCAGCATCATCATCAGCATCATCATCAGCAGCATCATCGTAATCATCACCAGCAGCAGCACCACCACCATCATCATCATCATCATCAGCATCATCATCATCATCATCATCATCATCATCATCATCTGCTGATGCTGCCCCCCCTCCTTTGCTCCCGATGCTGCTCCTGCTGCTCCTTCTCCTCCGCCCCCGTCCGATGCAGACCTTCCGGAACTGCTCCAGGAAGTACATGTACGACAGCTCCAGCTCCTGGTACGGAGGATAAGAGGGACAAAGAGAATGAGGAGGAGAAGGAAACCGACGCACAACCATCAGGAGGACTAGGGAGAGAATGCCAGGGACGAGGGTCAGTAGAGTGAGGGGGCGGAGAAGGATGAGGAGGAGGCTGAAGCCGAGAAGGAGGCTGAGGAGGAGGAGGAGGCGGTGAGGAAAGGGGAGCAGGAGAAGAGGGAGGGTCCAGGACCCCGCCCACACAACCCAGATGGCCCCAAGTTGTTAGGGACAGTCTCGGGATCGCCGATACTCCACGCCCCTCTGCTGAAGGGGCACAGTGGCTTGCAAGAGTTGGGTCAAAACTCGCACAGCTTGCAATTCAAGGTCGAAACTGACTATATATATATATATATATATATACGGGGCAATGCAGGACTGCCATTCACCTATGGGGCTCGTGCCCTGCATCCCGCAACCAACACACAAGCTCTGCAAAGCTCGTGCTCTAGTTGCTTGATACGTCGAGGCGCCTTTCCGCTCCGCTCACGCGCACCAGCAAGCACTACGTGCTTCACGCTACATAGCAATCAAAAGTTGTGAAACACAGATTGTCAAAACGGCGGCCTGTTGGGTCCTAACGGGATCATCATCATCGTCATCAGCAGCAGCAGGAGCAAAAGCAGCATCATCAGCAGCAGCAGCAGCAGCAGCATCATCATCATCATCATCATCATCATCATCATCATCATCAGCAGCAGCAGCATCATCATCATCATCACCATCACCATCACCATCACCATCACCATCATCATCATCATCATCATCATCATCATTATCATCATCATCATCATAATCATCATCATCATCATCATCACCATCATCATCATCATCATCATCGGCAGCAGCAGCATCATCATCAGCATCAGCAGCATCATCAGTATCAGCATCATCGTCACCATCATCAGCATCATCATCGTCATCATCGTCGTCATTATCACCACCACCATCATCATCACCATCACCATAGAAAACCTGCACGCGGCGCCAGCAGCAGCACTAGCGACATAACTAGCTGCACGGCCCAGACAGAGCCAGACTGGTGACAATCACACATCTTCTGGCTCTGGGCCCATCAGTGAAGGAGCCCCAGGACACACAAATAAATACACACAAATAAAACTATTCCCCATATTTTCCCATATTTTCTGGGTTTCTGTCTTCCCCCCCACTTCCCATATTTTCCCATATTTTCTGGGAAATCGACGATTAATTGTGTCTGTGAGTTTCTTTTCCTCTTGAATCAGAACCGTTCGTCAGTCCAGAACATTTCTGCTCCCCGGCGCAAGTGCGACTGCCCCAGGGGTGCGCTCGCTGGTGGGCGCCGTCCTGGGGGATACCAAACTGTACCGATACTGCTACTCCCTTAACCTCTCCCGGGATGCGCTTTGACCAGAATCTCGAAGGGAGTCCAGCGGTGGCGACGAGGGCCTCCCAGGAGGCCTAAATATGGGAAAACGAAAAACGCCCCGCGGAATCGCCAAAACACCATTTAGGTCGACCCCTGTTTCGCGCCGCGCATCGCGAAGCGTGGCCGTCTTCGAACAGCACAGGACCGAAAGACCTGGCGCGCCAGCCAGGCCCACAGCAGGCCCTTCTCTGCCGATCCCACGAAGTTGGCGGCGAAGACGAAGACGTAGACGGCCTCGAAGACGACGAGTAGACAGACCGGCCCCACGCGGAGCATCGCATCTATGGCGTGCCCGACGCCGTCAACAAGCGCTCCCGCGATCTCGAATCCACGTGCATTGCTCTCGGCACCAACTGCACCTTGGTGCTCGCAGCCCTGCAGAAGGACCGCATCAGCCAGGAACACAATCTGTCGCATAGTAGCAACACGCTCAACGCCAACGCCAGCGCGCAGCAGCTCCTCCAGAAGCTCTGCGCCCCAGCGGCACGGGCCCCAACGGCGGTCTCTTCAGGAAGGAGATCAGCCCACACCCGCCGAGGACCTCGCGGCAGATGCCCAGACAGCACCGGCGGCCCAAGTGGCCCCAGGGATGACAGCCGCCGCTGGCCTTCCATCGGTGCCACCGGTGCCCACGTCACCCACGGTGGCCTCTGCGGCGGCGGCGGCCGCCGGCCCTCCATCGGCGCCAGCGGCAGCCATGCCCCCTCCCGCGGTTGGACTACCAAGAAAAACCAAGGAGGCCAAGTCCCCATCCAACGTATACTGATGCGGCCTCAACAGGACTCCCTCACCCTGTCGAGGAAGCGCATCGAGTGCCCACTCGTCTGACCTCCCACCACAGGGTCGTTTGGGGCACGGTTCATAACACCTTGGCTGTCAAGCAGTACCCATCTTACTTGTCTTGAGGGTCCTGACGAGGCCCAGTTCTGCCCCCAACTTAGCCAGCCCGCACAGGGTTCGGGCCGTAACACGGGGATTGCTGCACCATGAACAATTCCATTCGCCTTGGGGTTCAAGGTAATGCACAAGTTAAGCACGTCGTCGGTTGGCTCGATTTGTCAGCCCAGAAACGTAACCCGCGCCCGTAGGGTGTCGCTCAGTGGTCACGGCCACCAAGCTCCCTCGCGCGTGGGCCCGAGGGGCCGCTCAGCCATGCTCCTCCGCTGGAGTGCCTGCATTTTGCGCGCCCCAGCCCAAACGACCCGCACTGGCCTTCAGTGGAACCATAACCACTACGAACCGACTCCGTACGGCGGGCCCTCTAGGCTAACTCTGGCCTTTCGTGGATCTGGGTAATACCGCCAGAGACGTCCGTCAACGGCGCTGGGCCCCCGTGCCGTCCCAGCCCTCTCGAGTGTTCGGGCCCCGACGTCTTTTCGACGCGTTCTATTTCCATCTCGCTGGTCCCGCCGTTCACGGTTCCACGGAGCAAGCCCGATCAGGGCCTCCCCAGTCCCACCAGCCGAGAGGAACGCCCCCGCCCGCTGCCTCTGGCCACGCCCGCCTGGGCTCGCCCCCGACGCTACACGGCGGTCCGCCTGATTCCGAGGCGCACGGGCGACGGCGACCAGGTGCCGGTGGACGGTCACCGTCATAATCGGGCGCGCACTCCTCACTGGAATCGTGAGCGCCGCTCGGTACCGCACTGGGCAGAAGTGCCTCGAGCATGGCTCGATCGGGCGACGGTTGCAACGACCGTCTCTCGTGGCCATCCTCACCCGCGCGCCGCCAGGCTCTTCGTCGAGCTACGCGGCCACCGCGCCCCTCTTCCAAGTTTCGGAGGACGAACCTGAGCCGCCAAGGCTCAGTGAGCACACCGTCCAGGTCGCGGGCCTCGCGGCTTCTCTCGTGGACGCCCTTCTCCAACTGGCGCAAGGCCGCGTCGTCGCGGCGGCCGCCGAGTCAGGCAGCGGCCGGCAGCCGAGAACTTCACCCCGCGGCAAGAGCCCACGCAGTCACCCGAGCCCGCAGGCGGTCCCCCAACCAGCCCACGAGGGTGGAGACGCGACCACTTCTACTACTTTGCAGACCCGGCCACCAGGCGCCTGTGGGTCTACGCGGCAACAGACGGCGCCTGCTCACCCTAAGCGCGCCAGTTCCTGGCCAGGGCGGCGCATGGCGTCTTCTACGGTGTGGGACGCCGCCTCAACTACGCTGCCCGCGTCCACGGGTTGTCGCAAAGCGCCACCGATTCGCCGCCGTTCTTCGCAGTGTAGTCGTGAACATCTACAATATCCGGAACCTCTCCATCCCTCGTCCACACCGCCGTGCTTGTTGCACCGAAAAGAGACTCCGTCGGATGGGCCCCCACCCTTCGATCGAAGGTGGACCTCTCGCCCCCCGGCCAACGACGAGCTAACCGCTGACGATCGATAGCTCACACCCTTCGCCCCTAGCGGCAGTTCGGTCGTCCCACAGGTATGCGTCCTAACCCCCTCGGCGGACATGCAGGCCGGGCCCCACGGAGAGCCCCACACAGACAAGACCCACAGCACCGCCTCGGGGCCGCACCACGGGTTTCTGCTCACGGCGCCCTCGTCTGCTGAACACAGCGCGCCGCCGCCCACACTGGCCGCCACGCACAAGGTCGCCCAGTCAAGCACAGGTGAGCGCCCTCCTCCGGCACACTCGCACTCTCCAAGGTCAATGCGAACAGGCGCTCGCCCAATCTGCGGTCACCACCAACTCGTTACTAGCACTCGGGCTGCCGTGGCGACCGCGACGCGCAAGCAGGCCGACCTGACGGCCACCCTACAGGCGCTCCTGGCTGTTCACGCTACAACGTCAAGCAACGGGGCGGGCCAACCGCCGGGCCACTGGTGCCAGGGCGCGTCGGCACCCCAACTGTTCGCCCACAGGTTGTCCTGCCCGACACGCCAGCTTCGCCCCCCCCGTGAGGGGCACCTCGCAGTGTGGTGTACCCAAGCTGAGGGAGCGCCCCGCCACGGAGCCATCCCACCATCGGTCACTCGCCAACGGGTTTCCCAATGCTCTTGCGCAGCTCGGCACTCAGGGCACCTCCTCTGACACTGCTATGCGTCTTCTCGCGCGCGGGCCGAGGGTCACCTCCGTCTCCCTCGCTCCAATTCGCTGCGGGCCCCAGCCATAAAGGCTTGGCTCGTTGGCTACCAGACCTCCTGGCGCAGGGAGGATGGACCGTCCGAATCGGTGCGTTCCGTGTGTGTGTGTGTGTGTGTGTGTGGCTCTCTCTCTCTCTCTCTCTATTTCTGTCTCTCTTTTCTCCCCCTACCCCTTTTCCCAACTTACCCCTTCCTCTGTCCCCTCCAGCCATCCCGCCTTCCCCCATCCAATCTTCGCCCCTCCCCCACGAGATCCGACGTCGTGGCAAACATCACGGCGTCGTGGCGACAAGAAACGTCGACCCCATGTTGCCGCGGCACCTTTCGAGCGGGATCGATCCGCGAGCATCCTAGGGGTGGACTCGAAACGGGGAAGAGACGCCCGAGATAATTTTGCCCACGATGCCCGGAGAGCTACTCGGGGGGCCTGGACTCCGTCGACAAGGCCGCCTGCCCGCTCTCCTCCTCATCATCCTCCTCGTCCTGATGTTCATCCCCCTCCTCCTTCATTCTCGGCTTTTTCGGCCTCCTCCTCTTCCTCCTACTCCTCCTCCTCCTCCTTCTCCTCCTCCTCCTTCTCCTCCTCCTCCTCTTCCTCCTCCTCCTCCTCCTCCTCATGTGCTCCCCCATTCTTCCCCTCCGCCGTTATATAATCTTTCCCGGGGGCCCCAGGCTCCTCCGAGAAGGTCGTCTGCGCGTCCGTCAGGTTCACGAGGCGGAACACGCGGCCGGCCAGCTCTCCGTTCACGACATGCGTGGGCGCGCCGTCCGTGTCTGCCCGGTTCGTCTTCGCGGATGCGTGCCCGCCGACCTGAAAGGAAGAGGACGAGGAGCGGGAGGAGGACGCCTCCGTTCCCCCTCCTCGTCCTCCTTGTCCTCTCCTGCTTCTGTACCGCCGCCTGATCCTCTTTTCCTCGTCCGCCTTCTCTGCCTCCGCCTCCTCCTGTTCCTCCTGATGGTCCTCCTCATCCTCCTCCTTCCGTTGTCCCATCACTGCTCCACCTTCTCCTCCACCTCCACCTCCACCTCCTCCACCTCCACCTCCACCTCCTCCACCAACTCCTCCTCATCCTCCTCCACCACCTCCTCCTCCCGTTCCTGATCCTCCTCCTCCTCCTCCTCCTCCTCCCGTTCCTCCTCCTCCTCCCGTTCATCCTCCTCCTCCCCCTCCTCCTTCTCTTCCTCTTCCTCCGCCCACCCCCACCATATTTCCTATTTGTCCTCCCCTCTGCCGGCGACCAGCGCACCCATCATGTAGACCAGCCAGGTCATCTTCTTCTCGAAGACGGCCTGCGGCACTCCGCCGGCCTGGCCCACTCGCGAGATCTCCTCGAAGTGCTTCATGATGCACTGCGCCGTGTCCTGCGGGTAGGAGGGGAAGGAGGGGGGAGAGGAGGAGGAGGAGGAGGAGGAGGAGGAGGAGGAGGAGGAGGAGGAGGAGGAGGAGGAGGAGGAGGAGGAGGAGGAGGAGGAGGAGAGGCGGAGGAGGAGAGAAGGAGGGGGAAGAGGATGAGGAGGAGAGGAAGCTGCGGTGATGATGATGATGACGACGACAATGCTGCTGCTGTTGCTGCTGCTGCTGATGATGATGTTGATGATGATGATGATAATAATGATGATCGTGATGATGATGATGATGATGATGATGATGATGATGATGATGATGATGATGATGATGATGATGATGATGATGATGATGATGATGATGATGATAACGATGATGGTGATACTGATGATGATGCTGATGATGATGCTGATGGTTATGCTGCTGCTGCTGCTGATGATGATGATGATGGCGACGACGACGATAATGATGATGCTGCTGATGATGATGACGATGGTAGTGATGATGATAGTGGTGATGATGATGCTGATGTGGATGATGATGCTGATGCTGATGCTGATGATGATGATGGTGATGGTGATGGTGATGATGATGATGATGATGATGATGATGATGATGATGGTGATGGTGCTGGTGATGATGATGATGATGATGCTGATGATGAAGATGAGGAGGATGATGATGCTGACGATTATGCTGCTGCTGCTGATATTGAGGAGGAGGAGAAGGAGGAGGAGAAGGAGGAGGAGAAGGAGGAGGAGGAGGACGGAGAGGAGCGAGGATAAGGAGCAGGAGGCCGCCGCTCATCTGCCAGCCGATGCTTGTAGGCGGGGAAGGAACTTTCAAGTCCTAATCGCTCCTCCTCCACCTACCAGCTCCAGACCGGCCCCAGATCCCACATCCTGGAGCCCGTGTACTCAAATTCCAGGAGCAGCGTCAACTCTGCAACTGTCTACGTCATTCGTAAAATCACTGTTCTCCGTGGCGCACCCCTTCCAACGCCTGCACAATTACACATTATGAATACTACTTTCCTTCCTCCGTAACTCTGTCCACAAGATGTCCAGGCCTCTCCGCGTACTGGTTTGTTTTACACACAGGATGTCAAACGTTCCCCAAACACTGCTTGCACTTAGGGGTTCTTGCTTCGTTTCTGTTGAAGTGGGCCTGTCTGCTATGTGGCCGCCATCGTCACCCCGTCGCCGCCTCGTCGCCGCCCATACCTGGGCCTGTCTGCCGGTCTGGCCGCTGTGGCCGCCGTCAACGCCTTGTCGCCGCCTCGACGCCGCCCGTAACTCGTCGCCGCCCGTACCTACGCCTGTCTGTCGGTCTGGCGGCTATGTTGCCGCCGTCGCAGTCCCGGCATAGATTGCACAACACTTTTCCTTTCAATCTAACACTTTCCCCCGCCCGACTTATCGACCCCATCTGGGGATGTGCAATTTACGCACGATTCTGCCCCATCGTCCGTCCTAGATATGACCTCGCACCACCCCAGCCAAACCAAATTCGACCCCCCCTCCCCCCCATCCCTAACAGAGGGTACTATGCTCGCACACTTGTCTATCCAAAGCCACCCGTTAGCAACAATCCATAGTAACAAATGGGACAACGTGTGCACGCGCGCGTCGTCGCACGCGCATGTTGATATCCTTCAACAGCGAAGGTTCCGCATGAAATTCAACAACGAATGTCCCGAAAACATGGGAAAACATATGGCGCTGCAACGTGGATTCCAAAAAATCTGCGCGCGCACTCTTGCGAATTCTCCGGAACATGGAAGGTTTCCCAACTATTTCTTCACATGCAGCCGATCACGCGTCTCGCGCGCATGTCGCAAATTGTAAAACGCCCTTGCGCGCGCGTTGGAGAAGGGGGGGCACGATCCCCGTCAAATAACAGCACGCGTGCCACCCGCGCCCGTCGGTCGTCCGCGCATGTCGGTATCTTCCCAAAACCTTCATCACTGACACGTCGACAGCATCATTGTCACCAGCGTGATCAGCATCAGCGCCGTCATTGGCTTTGTTGTCGTCGTCGTTACTGTCGTCACCAGCATCGCCACGATCATCATCGTGCCTGTCGTTGCCGACGTCGCCCTCATACCACGCCCGCCCGAATCACCGACTCGCCTTGAAGTACCCGCGCGTCAGCGAAGCCTGCGAAACTCGCTGGGAAGTTCCCACCGGTCAGCGCCACCGCGGCCGCGTCGGTTGCACCAGACTACCTGGCCGCTCTGCGCGCGAGCCTGCGCGAGCTGGCACGGCCGCAGCGATGCGCCAGCCAGCGCCGAGCAGCCGTCGCAATCGCCGCCGCATGGGTTTTGAAAACCAAATCGCGGGCGGGCGGGTGGGATGATTGCCGAGCAGCGGAATTGACAACTCACTGCGGGCCAACATCGAATGCACCACAAATGTTCCTCTTGCTTCGAAAAATATCAGGATCGACCACCCCCAAGACTTAACGCTTCACCTTGTCGCATTGTTTCTTGTAAACGATTATGCGCGCTCGTCCATTCCGAGTTTGCACGCACATCGCCCCAGGCAATCGCTCATCGACCCCCCCCCATCCTCTGCAAAGAAGCTGCACGCGCACGTTCGTGCATTAAGATCATGAGTCTGCAACTATCCCTTGCAACATCAAGGAGCGCGGTGCACGCATGCGCGTCGCCACGCGCGCATGCCGAAATCCTTCATTATACCGAGGTTTCATAAGGAGTTCACAATCGAGTGCCCCGAAAACATGTGACAACACATGGTGTTGCCACATGAGTTTGAAGAATCTGCACGCGCGCTCTTGCTAGTGGGGAATTCGCAGATTTCCCCACCTTATCGTCATCTGCGACCAAACACGCTTCTCGCGCGCGCATGTCGAAATTTGTCGAACGCCCTCGCGCGCGCAATGTCGCAAGCACCCCCGGTGAAAGAACGGGGCGAAGTGCGCGCGCGCGCCCGCGTCGCCGCGCACGCGTGCCGAATCCCTCCAAAACCTGGAGCCCCGCACGGACTTCAACATTGAGCGCCCTGGAAGCATGAGAAAAATGGTTTCGCAAGAGGGAGTGTCCAAAAAGCCTGTGCTCGCGCTCTTACGAATTCTGAAGAACGGCATCGGCTTTTAACATGACTATCACATGCAACCAAACTGGCCCCCCGCGCGCGCATGCCGCAATCATTCGAACGCCTTTGCGCGCAAGCTGGGGGGGAGAGGGGGAGGGCGACCCCTGTCGTTTTCAACCACGCGGGCCGCTCGCGTGCGTCGGCCGGGCGCGCATGTCGAAATCCCCATTGCAACCTTCATCGCTGACGCGTCGACACCATCATCGTCATCGCGCGATCAGCATCTGCGACGCCACTGCCCTGGCCTCATCGTCGTCACCGTCGTCACCAGCATCGCTACTATCATCATCGTGCCTGCCGTTGTCGACGTCGCCATGATACCGCGCCCGCCCGAGTCACCGACTCGCACTGGAGTGCACGCGCGCCAGCGAAACCTGCGAAACGCGCCGGGAAGTCCCCAGCGGTCAGCACCACCGCGACCGCGTCGGTCGCGCCAGATTAACTGGCCGCTCTGCGCGCTAGCCGCTAGCACGGCGGTGGCGATGCGCCAGCCAGCGCCGAGCAGCCGTGGCAATCGCCGCCGCGTGGGTCTCGCAAACCAAATTGAAGAGGGGCGGGTGGGATGATTGCGCGAGCAATGGATTTGACAACTTCAAGTTCGGCAGGGTGAGCTGCACCACGTAGATTGCACCACAAACATTGCAACACGTAGATTGCACAAACTATATTTCACATCGCGCACGCCATGAATTGCACTACACATTTGACACAACAGATTTCGCACCACACAAATTGCACATTCTAGATTGCACCACGCATACTGCACGATATAAATTGCACCGTGTACACCCCACAGCACAGATTACACAACATCGGCTCTCCTTTCAAAATGAAAACAAATTCCACCACCTTCCCGAGGGCGGAATTAACGGCTCCCCCCGGAGATGTGCAAATCACATGTCGCATAAACATGGCGAGAGGGCATCGGCAATTTTCTCCTCGGTGACGGGGGCGGGCGTGCTGATGCAGAGGTGACTAGTGCCTGGATATCAATCGTATTTGGCTGCGGCTTCGGCGTCGGTCTTTCCCATCATAAGATCTTGGACGGTGCTCCACAACTGATATTGCTGGTTTTACTGACGCGCGATAGAACCTGGCATCTCGGTGAGCTGTTCGTCGACATGTGTAAACTTTCTCCCGCTTATGGCTGATATTCGGCTAGTCCTTTGGCACCAGCTTCGGTGACCGCTTTGAACAACATCGTCGTGTTTCTCGAAGGACGCGCCAGGATGCTTTGTTACCATGTGTTCCTGCTCTGATGCGCCCAAAGCAACTATTGTCTTCATATCGGTCGACGTGCGTGGTCGTGTGAGCCACGAAATCGCCAAACGTCGAGTTGGGCGAGCCGAGCGCCGCAGTGGGCGGGGAGTTCCAGATAGCTGCAGAGGGGCTGGCGGCGGATGCACATGGGTGTCCTTCCTTCCAAAAGTCAGTTTCTTGGAGAGGGTCTTGTCCGCGCGGGGAACGTGCTGGCTTGTGAATTCAGCGGCCTTCAGCAGCGCCTGGAGTTTCTGTCCTCCTTCGAGACCTGGACTGGCCAATCGATGGACCTGCCTGCCGCGAGGAGTGCTAGTGTTCCTGCCAGCAGGGGACGCCATGACATCAGATGGACCCATCTCGAAGACGAGGGGGCCCCCAGTGTGGCGCGAGCGTGGTGTGGATGGCTGCCCCACTGGGAGCTCACACAACATGGAGTGGCAACCCAGAAGGAGCACACGAGATATGGAAAGAGTCCCCAGCAGGGGTGCAAGCAACTGAGATCGGGCCGCGGACTAGCAGTATCCACTTTGGCCCCAAAGAAACCGAACAGTTTGAGCCAAAACGATTACGGAAGGAGGGAAAGGACTAGGAGAAGGAGGAGAAGGAGGAGGAGGAGGAGGAGACGACCGTACGAGAGGAGGAAGAGGAGGAGGCGGAGGCAGAGGAGGAGCAGCAGGGAGAGAAGAAGCAAATGGAGTCGGAGCAGCAGCAAGTGGACCCACTCCTGGTAGCGACACCGCCCGAGGTTCGAGAGGACCTCCAGCTGCTCGGTGCGAAGGACCTCGTCCTGCAATGGATCGTCCCAATCCGGCGAATTGGTCGGGTCCGCGGACGCCTCGGCCATGAACAGCCTCCAAGAGCGGACAAGGGTAAAGGGGGGAAAAAGAAAGTGCATTAAAACATACTGAAATAAAGACTCCCGTCTCGAGTCCCCTCTTCACAAGTCCATACACACACTCCACGTCACTGCGAGTAGCGCATCGTTGAAACGCAAGCGCCCCATGGACCTGTAATTCAGGCAGACACCTCGTTCTGAAATGGACCCTCCTCCTCAGTGCCTTAGTGTGTGGGACATATCAATCAAGCGAGAGCCACATTATGAAAGAAAAACGACATACATCAGGGCGCCCGTTGCAAACTTTAACTGAGAATCCGCGAGGAATTAAAACGAGAACACAAATTCGAACAGGAGTAGCCGTCCACCCATATAACTGCTGCAATAGTTCAGGAACAGGAACCGCCCCCCCACCAATGTAACTGCACCAAATTTTTTACAACGAACGTGTGCGGCGCCCACGCGAGAGCCAAATGCTCAAACTGACGCCGATTTCCATCCGTGTGCTGGAAGCTTTCAATATGAGTGTCCGCTGTGCGCACGCGGGAAACGTGTTCTATAAACGGAAGGTCCTCCATCCGCTTAGCTGCCAACATCTTTCGAAACGACCGGACACAACGCTCAAACGAAAACATGTTTTCAAACAGCCGACCATGCGTCCGTGCAGCTGCTAGAAAAATCATTATCTACGATCGCTCGCAGTGAAGATGTCTCAGGCGAAACAGCCGGCCCGCCCAACCGACGCGTCTGGAAGCGCGACGAGGAGGAGTTGCCCATAAGTCATCCGAGCGGCGGATAAGAATGATGATGATGATTCGTCCTCCAGAACCGAACCGTCTTTTTTTGTCAGAGCGTCGGACCAAGGTTCTCCTCGCGTGGTCGGGCCATTGGCCTTGGACCCGAGGGGTACGAAACAATGTGCGTCGGAATGGTCCTCGGATATTTCGCCAACAATACGCGAGCGGAGTGGGGGGCATCGAAACTGCATTCGACACACGTCGCATGTGGCACATATTTTCACGCGTGCGCGCCGACGAGGGGGTCGAACATGCGCCCAGCATGCGATTTGTTCAGAAATCCCGTATGCACTTTGCCACAACAGCGGGGGTCCGCGCCGCGTTCCAAGGCAGACGTGGGATGCACGTGGGAGGAGGGGGAGGAGGAGGAGGAGGAGGAGGAGGAGGAGGAGGAGGAGGAAGAGGAGGAGGAGGAGGAGGAGGATGAGGAGGAGGAAGGAGGAGGAGGAGGAGGAGGGGGAGTAGGAGGAGGAGGAGGAGGAGGAAGAAGAGGAGGAGGAGAAGAGGAGGATGAGGAAGACGAAGAAGAGGAAGAGGAACGCGCGGGACGGGGGGAACACGCTCAGAACATGCAGCCCTAATGCGCGAATGCCAGAACACTGTGCGAATCCCACATGCGCGAGACGCGCAATGTGACGAGTGATGCGAGAGGCGACTGCGGCCCCACATCCCCTGCGGACCGCCCGGGGGGGCGAGCTGCGGCTCGGGCTGCGAGCAAAGACGACGAGGAGGACAAACGCACGGATGGAACAGGAGGAGGAGGAGGACGAGGAAGGGGAAGGAGGAGGAGGAGGAGGAGGAGGAGGAGGAGGAGGGAAACAGGAGGAGGAGGAGGAGGAGGAGGAGGAGGAGGAGGAAAAGGAGGAAAAGGAGGAGGAGGAGGAGAAGGGAATCAGGAGGAGGACGCGGAGCAGGAGGAGGAGGAGGAGGAGAAGAAGGGGGAGGAAAAGGGAGGGGGAAGGAAAAGGAGGAGGGGTGGAGGGGGAGGAGGGGGAAAAGGAGGAGGAGGAGGAGGAGGAGGACGGGGAGGAAGAGGAGGACGGGGAGGAAAAGGAGGAGGAGGAGAAGGAGGAGAAGGAGGAATAGGGAAATGAGGAGGAGAATAGGCAGGGGAAGGGGGCGAGGATGATGATGGTGGTCATGATGACGACGATGATAATGACGATGCTGATGATGATGATGATGATGATGATGATGATGATGATGCTGATGCTGATGATGAGAGTAACGATAACGATGCTGATGATGATGATGATGATGAAGGAGAGGAAGAGAAGGAGGGCGCGAAGAAGAGGAGGAGGACAAGGAGGAGGAGGAGGAGGACCAGTGAAATCCAAGACACGCCAATAATGTTGCAATTCGCCTTCCTGTTTCCGTCATCGGATCTACGCCACCTGCAAAACAGCCTGACGCATGTGATGAATATTATATATCTTCTCCTAGCTCAGGGAGCCCCTGTAAAAGGAATTTATGCACGACCTGTCTTTTCATTCTGACCGATGGCATTGCAACAGCGCGCACGGACAGCGGGCGTTCCCTTTTTCCAACGACCGACGTGCGAACCACGCCTTTTAGTCAGTCGGGTACTTCCTCCTTTGAGGCAATGTAAAAGGCTTGAGCCAGACGCCCGCAGCGGCGGGCGGATGAGTGATAAACAGACGCAATAAAAATTGATATTATCGACTCCCCCCGAGTCGGGTACCGGGGCAACCGCATCTCCACGCGCCGGCCTTCAGCGCGCCGCGCCCAGGAACGCCAACCCCAAAAACATTTCTACAACACTCACCGTCCGCACTGCGCCTACTTCCGCTGCAGAGGCGAAAGCCCAGTTGCTCGACGGACCCCCTGATTATTCGACAGGCCCGCGGGGCACCCCAGCGCTGCTCGCTCAGTCGCAGAGGTGTCACCGCGGCTCGCGACGACCTCGGTCGCCTTCTACGCCAGCCGCTGTCGTTCCTGTCTTTCTTGCACCACTTCTTCTCGTAGTTGTGCGACCCCGAAGACTTGCCATGCTCGTCCTTGCACTTTCCAGACTCGTCCTGCCACTTTCCAGACGCGTCCTTCCATTCATCTTCGCACCATCCACTCCCTGAGCTCTTGCAATCACCGCTGGCACTACCAGCTTCGCGGCACCTGCTGCGGCCACTCGAACTCCAACCGCTGCCGCCTGCACCGCCGGTTTCCTTGATTATTATGTTCATGTTCTCGTCTGCTTTCTCGCGGCTCTTGCTTTCGTCATGTTCCCAGCGGTCGCCCAACGCACAGGCGCTCCGTCCTCGTTGTGCCCCGCTCCTTGCTCTGATCGCGCCCCTGCCCATCAAGTCGGACCGTCTTGCTGCCAGCAGAGGCGTCATCGGTGTTCTTCGCCATCGAGATGGCCATCGTGGCAAACCGCGCGCCACGCTCATTTAGGACTCGAACAATTTCCTCTGCGCACAGTCCCTACCGACAAAAAGTGCCCTTACATCATCCCTGGAAGGATGGGTCTGTCCTCTGAGAAATCCTTTTTTCAGCAGACGTAAAAACATGCGGCTCATCATCGAAACCTTCTCCATGGCGCATTCGCCAGTCCACCTTTCGCCGCGCAACTCCTGCACCTTGATCGCGACGTAGTCCCAGAATACTTGCCCCACCTGTCATTCATTGTACGCAGCGACAGGATCGGCGCACATGAGACTTCGATGATTGAATTAACGGTTCCCCACGACAGCTACTACTTATCAGCTGGAACCCAAGGCTCACACTTCGTTCTAGCTGCTCGGTCGCGGTCCAGCTCTTGTGCCATTCGTTGCTTGGTCGCCCCAAACCGACCATCTGTTTCGGACAAGTTCCACCGCGCTGCACTAGCGGTCGGAAGAGACAGCGCGCCCGCGGAGCACTCCCGGGGGGGGGGGGGGGGGGGGCGGATGGGGCCCCAGCATCCTTCCCCCCTTCCTGAGCTACCCCACCCGTGGACCCCCCCCTGACACCCCCTGCCAAAGGCCCCCCCCTCCCCCTTGCGTCCGCTGCGCTGAAGCCCCCCCCCCCCCCCTCCCTCGGCGCCGCGGACCCCCCCCCTCCGCCCGCCCTCTTCGGAAAAGGGGGGGGCCCAGCTACCGCCCCCCCCTCGAGGCCCCCCGCGCCAGGGCGCGCAATGCCGGGACATCCAACAAACCTTAACCAGTTTGGCACAAAGAACTGCGCTGCGCAAAAAACGGCGCGGGCAAAAATTGCACTGCAGCGCTCCAGGGATAAACTCGGACAAAGGTCATAAAAGCGCGCGACACCTCTCGATCCCGCAATAAAAACGCATTGGGCGACCAAGTGCAGCAACGAAGAATACACTGGGCAACCGAAATCTGACTTCGCGGGGAACGGCGTCGATTTCTCGACTGCCAATGTCCCCGGGTGATCCTTGTCCTGGTCTCGGGGGGGTGGTTCCCCGAAGAGCCCCCCCCCTGCTGGAAGCCCCCCCCCCGCCCCCCATTCTGGCTGCAGAGAGGCATTTGGCTAAACGAAGCGGCGCCGAAAACCAAAAGGGCGCCGAGAACCGGCGGGGCGCAAAGACCTGGTCACCGAAGACCGATGGGGCACCAAAAACCGCAGGTGCGCCGGAAACCAACGGAGCGCCGGAAACCGAACGGGCGTCGATAGTTAGCCAAAGGGGCGCCGAACACCAAAACGGCGCCGAAAAACAAGAAGGCGCCGACCGCAAAAATGCGCCGGAAAGCAAAAAGAAAGCCGAAAACCAACGAGGCGCCGAAAAGCAAAGACGCGCCGAAAACCAAAGGTGCGCCGACAACCGGAGCGGCGCCGAAAACCAAATGGGCGTCGAAAACCCAAGGGCGCCGCAACCCAAAAGGGCGCCGAATGCCAAGGGGGCGCCGAACTTCAGAAAGGCGCCGAAAACTAAAGGGGCGCCGAAAACCAATAGTGCGCCGAAAACCAAGGGGTCGCCGAACACCTAAAACGGCGCCGAAAATCAAAACGGCGCCGAAAACTAATCGGGCACCGAGAACCAAAGGAGCGCCGAAAACCAAAGGGGCGCCGAAAACCAGGGCCTTGACCTGATGCGCTTCACGTTGAACCTGTCGCTCCTGGCTCGAGATGACGGGGTCTTATCCGAGCTCTTCCGAGGCGTTCGACAAATCCTGTTTCTGCCGTAGCTGCGTGACAAGGGTAGTCGGAACATTTTTCGCGCTCTCCGTCGCGCTCTGGGCGCGTGGCTCTCCCCCCGCAG